TTTGAAGCAGCCTCGAGCAAGCCCCTTCTGGCAAGTTTCGAGGCTTTTGGGGGATTGGGGAATTTGAGGGGCTTGACGGGTTTGAAGGAACCCTCCACACCCTGAGCACTCGTACCTTCTCTCACGCGCTCCCCTTGCAGTCGCAAGGGGTCGGCGGATATGACATGTTTTGAGGGCTCAATATGATTCCAAGAGTTTTACGTCATTGTTTCATATCTAATAAATACATGAGAAAAAAGGTTTTGGACAACACCCACATCGCCTTTTTCATCCTTTTTCTGTTTGAACATTCATCATGTGGAGATGCCGCCGCATGCAACTTCACCCGACCGGGCCGGGACCTCGAGACGGGTTGGCAGGTGGCGGTGTTCAAGTCATCTGTTCCATTTGTGGGGATGATTGGGGCTCCAAAGCAGACAGAACAGTAGATCCCCGCTAAACATGTGCGACTATCTATATACCAGCACCCTCCAACAGGTCACCAATTGAAACCGGCTAGGGCCTAACAACCCTCCATTTCGGAGACCTGTAGAGTCGGGTTCTGGTATGGGGGTCGTGCGGGCGATCGACCCTCGTGCCCGGGGACTATCTCAGGGTCCGTGGAGGTCATCTCGGGTGTTAGTCATACCCCTAGAAGTCCAAAGACTATATTTTGATCGGCTGAAGTAAAGGAAGTGCCCTTTCAGGTCCCCTAAAGACCATTCTTTTTATAGTCTTTGACTCCCAGGCATACGGTACTGCCAGCAGTCCTTGGGTGTGGGTGCGGGGGTGCGGATCCCATGGGAGGAAGGAGGAAGGAGGTTGTCGGTGCGATGTTCGTCACATCCACCGCTTTTGGGATGGGACGAGCCACACCATATGATGTGACTCCTGGCTGTTTGGCTTTCGAACGTTTACTTGGCACAGATTCTCGGGTCTTCTTTGGGACAAGAGCACGTCCCAGATGACGCAGAGGCTCGGACCGGCAGATGTGCCCATGACCCCAGGTCAAGCACCCCCAATGTATGTACACTCTGGAAGAGACCCACATGGAACCTGAAAACCACTGGTTTGTAGAGGAAAACAGTCTTTCAGGGTGCCATTCTCAGGGTCCGTGTTAGTTTTCGGGAGTGTAAATAGGCCAGTCCCATGGGTTTCCCATGGAGTTCAACGTAGAGAGACGACTGAAGACTTGTAAGAGCATGGGTTTCCACGAAGAAGTGGACATGTATATAGCAGATGCAGAGTCTGAGTAGATGGCACCATCCTCCAATCCTCGTACTTTTGGATGGGGGATTTCCAACTGATACTTCAAGAACATTATCACACTGTGTGGAATGACTGTTTCCATTTTGTTCTCAAGTCGCTGTGCACATCTCAATCGGACCAAGGAAGCTGCGCCAATGGTGTGATTTGCAAATGCTCAGGATTTGCCCAACAGATTTTTTGCCAGTTCATCAACCAATGACTGTAGGGGTAGTCTCTGCCTTGCCAGCTTGTCAAGAGAGCTGCTGCTTGAAATTCTGGCTTCCTGCCAGCTGCTTCCGTAGCTGCCATGAAAGTCTGGCAGATCCTCATCGAAATCATCGGTCCAATCCGTCCGGACCGGAAGAACGAGTCTTCTCAGGTCGTAAGGACGGGAGGTGTTGATGTTGTGTGGGATGCCTTCCCGTATGTTGGGGCATGTTGGGGCATACCCTGTCACAGGTCTTCTCCAACTCACTCCGTTTTCCGAGTGGACTCAATCGATCGAACTTCAGCAAAATCACAGCTGCTTATGCTGTTTGCTTGAGGCTGATGGCTGGATTGGTTCGCAACGCCGTGCCGGCGCTGCCTTTTTCTTCGTTTCAATTGGAGAAATGAACATCCTGAGTCTGGTCCTATACTGTAACAGTCGGTCAAATTAAACAATAATCACTATGTATTTCAGAGACTAATGGGATACAGTATGCCCAACGGACATCATGTTGCCCTGTCAATGGCCAATGACTTAACAGATCTCGCACCCCAGATTTCGTGCACAGTGCCGCGAAGTCACATGGCTATACCAGACTTGGTACAGGGGTACAGTGCTTTCAGAGGTTCGATGGCACTGGCACACGAAGATCATGCGTTTAGTTTGAGGGTCCATATAAACCACCCCACTTGGGGGCCCTGGTGCCATTGAACCTCTGAAACCGTAAATGTTTCATTCGACACACTGAAATCAGTGCTTGTGATGGATCCAGCAGACGTGACGACTGCGACTGCGACTGCGAATCGCCCTTTCTTGGCGCGACGTTCACCCGACGTGTTCGCCATGTTCGCCACTGCGGCTGCGATGTCCGAATGTCGGCTGAAGTGATCAGGCGCGAGCGATTCACGGCGGGGGGATCGAGTGGCTGGGGGATCCAGCAATTCATTTGGTGTTCGCAGGAGGCGGCTTGAATGGCTGAGAATGGCCGAGCCAAGTCATGGGTCATAGGATGTCATAGGCCAGCTTCTAGTGAACGCTAAGGCTAGTGAACATATATATAGGGACATTGTGACCCGCTGTGACTTCACACCAGTACATGGTCTTGAATTTGCTGTGGAATTTCAAGGGCAGTTGGAAGGACCACTGGTGAGCCGTAAAAACTCGGCACGGGCCCGTTGATGGCCCGAGCAAAAAAACTCAGAACAAGACGAACTGCCGAACAACGAACCAAGCAAACTGACGATGGCCGTGGCTGGCTGGCGGAAAGCGGTTCCGGCCCCCGGCTAGCCGGACGACTGGACGTGGGTAACATCGGGCCGAGAAAGAAAAGAATGGATTGTTTTTTTGTTCACATTACCGTGGCCAAGCATGCCATAGAACCGCTCCATGGGCCTTGGTGGCTTAGCTCGGCTGATCGCTGATCTTAGTTGATGAAGCCAATGAGATTGCTAAGATATAATTATAAATGACAAATAATGATGAATAATAAAATATAATGTAGCCGCTGTCCCAAATCATAAAGAAGGAATAACAAATAAGAAATACAAATAGAAGATGCCAAGAGCTGGTAAGGGATGACAGGAAAGAATAATATGATATTAAGTTATGAGGGTTATGATCCCAAAATGCAATATAAGAAAGATAAATAGTAAAATGAAAGATAGAAATATTACAAAAGATTACTAGTATTCATGAATTTTAAGCATTAGTCTCCAGGAACAGAACCGGAGGGTTTACGGGGAGGAGCCTCACCGCCTCACTTGGGCTGTGCGGCTCTGAAGCTCCACGGGGGAACCCCGTCAAAGACCTTCCCCAGGCTGACCCAGAATCCCTATAGCCATCCATGGGACGGGAAGATTGGCCGATCAGGCCGGAGGTGATTTTATGGTGATTTTAGGGTCAATGTAATATACAATATGATTCCAGTCCCATGGATTGTTAGGGGAGGTTCCCTACCCCAGACACGACTCAACGGTTTTGTTGGCCAATACTTCCATGTAAGTGGAGTGTTTGGGTATGGATGAACCCTGATGAGCATCATTTTATGGGGGAAGATTTGTATGTTTTCTTGTTCCGTGAAGCAAATCCCTTTGTCGGCCGAAGTGGTTGGAGAGGTGACTTACAGAGCGAGCTTGTCCAAGGGAGAGGTCCATTTCTTCCAGACCTCAGCTGGAAAAACCATCCAAAGAAGACCACACCCACAGGGTCTCCCGATCTGGGCCGTGGGGAGGCCTTCCCAAAGACTTTTTTTATGTTGTTTTGTTTCCCGAAACGTGTCATGTAGATAGATACCGCATGGTATTGGGGTCTATCAGGTTCATGTTCCAAGTTTGGACCAGCCAGTTTTCCACCCTAAAACCAGCTCTTCGGCCCTTGGAGACCCCGCCGCCGCTCCGCTCTTGGCGACGCCCTTCCACCGCAGCGGGAACGTCTCCGACCGGACAGGGCCGTGAAGGCTGCGCAGAGCAGCAGCGAGGCACCGTTCCGCGGCGAGCGGCTCGACTCGGGAGGGAGAGGACGTGGATCCCGAGTGCCACTCCATGTCGTCGGACGGTCGGACTGTTTTGGTTTTGATGGGTCACATGTCTTGATCTTCCAGTCCCATGCAGTGGTTGGTTGATGCGTTGCTTTTGTTCCCTAGGGCTCCTGGCCCACCTCAGTTTCGAAGATGGGCCAGGGGTGGGTGGTCTTGGGGGTCTAACCACCGAACCTGAGGATATGGTTGGAGCCCTAGGGATTATTCAACTTTGGGGGAGAGAGTTATACTGCTCCAACATCGGTGTTCAGTCAAGTTCGGGGTTCAGTTTGGGTTGATGTTTTGTCGGGACCCCTCTCGGGGCTTCTTCTCCATCGCTCATTGAGGGGTGGCAACTACTGGTTGCTCATAAGCAGATAATATTTATACATCTATTACATAGATAGCATTTCTGATACAGGCTAGTATTCAAGGGTGGTAACCTATATACAAAGACGCTGAAAGAGTGGTTCATGACTTTCCACAATATAGAAAAAGGGATTAAGTTTGGTCTACAGGATGAGGCGTGAGAAAGGGATTGCCAGCGCTGTTGTTTTGCACTGAAGAAGTAGCTTCCATCGAGCTCATGTTTGTATGCCTCAATGATGTACAAAGCCCGCAGAAATCCCCCTGAAACAATCATGGAAGTGGCTGGCATGATCATTCTATGCCAGGGGGTGAACTCCACTTCCATTAATTAGTTCAGGGAGTGTATCTCATATCAACTTGACTCCTCTCCCTTGCAGGTGGAATTGCTGTTGGCCCCTGAGCTGGCCCGGTGGGCCAGGCAACCGAAGCTGGCCACACCAGCCACTCCGACAGCTGCATCAAGTAGCACACGTCGCATCGCATCTCGCGTGGATCGAGACGTCCGCGGGGCGTTTGACCAGCTTTCACCTGGGTTTGGCGGATCCTATGTCACACTCCATGTGACTGGCATACCTATTTGAATTCACCAAAAAATACTGCAATGTAGGTAAATATAGATATTGAAGAACACATAAACATAAGCCATATACCTGGTCTGGGTTATGGGTCATTTCCCCCAAACCTGGGGAAGGTCTTTGATGCTTGCCCGTCTACGGAGCTGCAAAGCCAAGTTCAGGTCCTCCCCCTGACCCTCAGGTTCTGGTCGTGGGGACCGTAACTTCATCACCTGGTCAGCCACCAAGCAAGGCCACCAAGGCCCATGGGGCGGTTCTGTGGCCCGGTAAGGAAGAACCAATCACCAATTGGAGCCGCCTACCCCTCAAAAGACTTGAACACAAAACACTCAAACAAGAGGTTTTGAAAGGAAGCCACCTCAGTTGTAGTCCCCGAAGCTGCCCTCGCATTTGTCTATGGTGTCAACGACGTGCAGTAGGTGTTCGTTCGATGTACTCCAAAGATCCCACTACCGAACCTGAATCCTTGGAAGGCTACCAAAAAATATGTCCCAAGGGCTCCAAGTACCTCCTCAGAAGGTCTTTGGACCCTCCTGGCACCCACCTCAAACACCTTCTTAGAAGGCACTTGGAGCCCTCGGGTGTAAATACTGACGGTGGGAAACACGGTTGCCCAACCATTGCCACAATGTAGGTCTCCCTTTTTCTCCCTCCAAGCAAGAAGGCCCCCTGAAGAGGCCCCGGCCCTTCGTGCAGCGACGGAGGTCCTGAAGTCGACGGGACGCAATGCGCTGCCAGCCGTGTTGTGGATGTTAAGGAGCGACGTGGATGGCGCGCTCGCCCCGCGCGCTCGCCCCGCGCGCCCGCGGATTGGGGAGATCATTTGTGAAGACACTGGTTAGCAAGACGATGCCACTTCTACGCTTCTATAACTGGAACCGGGGGGTTGTGTGTCCCGAACTGGGTGAAGGTTTTCCTTGTTCTTCCCGGCTTCGACTGCAAAGCGAAGACCAACAGGAGACTATAGGGAGAAAAGGTCCCAAGGACTGGCTGGAAGGGATCTCCTGGAAGAAGTGGCCTGAAACATGGAGATGAGTAGGGCCATCGGGGCAGCAGATATTCTTTCACGGTTTAGCAGTATAGCATACTCAAGTGGATTGGGAACTTGGGATAGATTGGGGATACTTCCACTTGGGGTATCGATCTCCAGACCTGGACCTTCCAACTGTGCAGAAGTTCCGCCTTTCGGCTTGTCTTAATGACTACAATCAATTGATAATGATTGGTTGTTTGATTGGAAGGGGATACGCCCGTATGTACACAACCGAAGTCCGGTATATAGTGTCCAGACGGTCAGCACGCACTTCCTGCCCAGGTCCGTCCGTGGGTTCTTAGATGGAGACGTTCCATTCGGTTCCACCGTTCCACAGCGTCGAAGACGATCCCGTTTCTTGAAAAACCACTGCGCAGCCCTGCGCTGGTAGAGCAGGAACATCATCAAAACCCGGGAGCCTGGACCTGGTCCGACTCCGGAGCGATTCCCATCGCCACCCGGCCATTTCCGGTCGCCTACGGATACGGATCCGGGACGTCCAGGAGCTCCCTCCGACCGAATGTGATCCACTTCAATGCGGCCGTGGCAGCCCCTTGGCCGACCGGGTGGAGGTGGAGCTTGTGGAGAATGGGATAGACATGGCTTAGGGATGTTGAGGGCGGTGCCAGAGCCATCTTCTGTGAAAGCACTGGAGTTGTAGATCATTGACACCCACCTTTTTTGGAATGCATGAGAGGTGCTCATGCATTCCAAAGAAGCGGGGTTCTTTCAACTGTCCAAAAGGCGACCATCAAGAAGCTTGGAGAAATCCAGCAAGCAGCCCGACCCATCCTCAAAAACTCATTCAGGGAGGGTGTCACTGTCACACCTGAAAGCTACATAAAGCTACATGTTCTTGCCAGGTCGTAGGGGCCATCGGTGTTTTGGAACCCTAGGGCCCCAGGGCTCCTGTCTCACATCTTCAGAAGGTAGTTGGACCCCAACCACCTTCTCAGGAAGTAGCTACACCTCCAACATCCTCCAACCACATCTTCAGAGGTAGTTGGAGCCCCCGGCACCTACCCCAAAACACCCTCTCAACGGAGATCGTTGATCTCGCGCTCCCACGCGAGGCCTGCGAGGAAGCCGATGCTTGGCCCAGTGCACTGGAGCTGCTCCGCCAGATGCTTCAGCACTCGGTGCTGCGTGGCGAGAGCGAGTCGGACGGTTACGTGACGTGGAGCGAGCGTTTGGAGCTCACGAGATCAGGGTCTGATCTGATGGATTTGATGGTTGGAACATCAAAATTAGAGGAAATAAGGTTCATAGAGGTGCAGACTACAGGTGCATCAAGTTGCTTTTTTCACCAAGCACTCGCTTTGATTTTTTTGGACCATGTCGATAAAATTAAGTTGATCATGATATACAGATACATCATCAAATGGCAATCCCTTTGTTCACCACCTAATATTGGGGGTTTGCTCCATTTGGTCGGCGATCCGGATTCCCACTTAGTCTACTGTTCCCAGGACATTTGGGATACCTGTCGTTCAGCCATGGCCATGGCCATTCCCAACGAGACTTCTTCACACTTGGGAGCCCAAATCTTCCCAGTGCGACACGGTCCGCACCACGCGCGGCCGCAGCATGCACCAACGCTCAGCACCATGCGCCACACATGGCGCCCGTGCGTTTCGACCACGCAGGTGCAGGGCAGCGTGTTAAGCTTCAACCGCACAATGGCAGCCATGAGCTCAGAGTGGCGCAAGTCCTTGGCCCTGTTGGAGGCGGGAAGCTCGTCCATCCATCCTCCCTGGAAATGGCCCAGGAAGTACGTTGATTTGCAAGTCACCATGGTCGGGTTCCCCACGAAACATGAATTCGGTGGCAAAGATGGAAAAAGCAAAAACACACACTCAAATCCCTTGATGTTAGATACCCCAAAAGATCCACGTAAAGTGACTATGACCGACATGAAGACCACCCAAAACCATTCCAAAACCACCAGTCATGAGGCCGGCGATAGAAATCCGCCCATGGTTTGGGCCTCTGGGCTTCGTTTGGGGAGTCCTCCTCCGTCTGGTGCCCTGCCCTGCCGGCTTCAGGAGATGCCTTCGCACCAGGTGGCGCCTTGTGCGACCACCGATGGACGGTTCCAGGGGGGGGCGGACAGAGGAAGTGGTGATGGGTCGCATTCCCCCTACGGTGTAACTCCAGTCGCACCTTCTAAGAACGCTATAGCGAAGCTGTGTTTGGGGTCCAGGACTTGGATTGTGTTCTCAGGGTCACTCATTCGTCTCACTAAGGATC